AGATTTGAATAGCGTGTTCACTTTAGCTTAATCAACTCATGCCTGACAGCTTCAATTTTGGATGAAGATGCACGGCCAAGATAGCTAATTTCTCTTCTCCACCAACAGATTTCTGTACTTGTACATGGAGACTCTCCATGAATGGAGCAGAGACTGCCTTTACAAATTCATCACCACTCCATCTCAAAGCAAATATGAATGATCTTATTATGATAATGCCACTGTGAGATAAGAAGGGCAGTATTCTACCAGCTCTTTTTCTTTCTAGTGCTTACCCATAGTTGCTTTTCTTTGCCGTGGTCAGTTTTCCCTCCACTCCCTCTATCTAAAGAAATAGCTGGAAGATATTTAAGGATGGCCCACCCCACATCTATCACTTGCAGAAAAAAAACATACACAAACAAGCAAAGTTCTCCCAGTCTTTTGCTCTACGTAGAAAAATGTTCACAGCATCATATTTCAGAGTCATCAATGTAAGTGGATAGTATTTTATCTATAAAGGCTTTCTGGCTATGTGAGCTGCATAAGCCACTGGTACACCTTGGTGAGCAGAATGACATCTCTCATCACATCCATATAAAAGCGAGAGAAACCTTGAAAATGAGAGGTGTGAGGATAAGCACTGCACTGATTCAAAGGGAATTTGTTAGTCTATGTTTTATTTTTTGAGATGCAAACGTGGAATTCAAGGACTAGCGATGGAGAAGCAGCCTGGACATAAATTTATATCTTTCCTTTCAATGAAATTTGAATAAAATATAGCAAGAGTCTACTCCGCCTTCAAAGAAAAGGTAGCTTTATTGCTGTGAAGCTCAACCATATGAGTCGCACTTAAGTACAACCTGGAATCCATCTCTTTAATTTCCAACTGTTGTACGGAAATGGAAAGACTTTCATATGCTTGATCTTTCATATGAATGATGGATTAGAGTTACATCTATATAACTGTAATTCAAATTGAGAATATTACATTAAAATCTGGAAAGAAAATTAACCTAATATACAAATTGTTGAATAAGCCCAAAATCCAATAAAGATATATTCCATGAGGATGAAAAATGAGCAAGCTACACTTTCTGCACCGAAAATGCTACTGGTGTCAAAAATGAAATCTAAAGATCTTGAAAAGATACCTTATTTTGTGTATATCTGACATCCAAATAAAATAGCTTTTCTTTAAATGTCATATTAAGGAGGGAAAGTTCAAACTGGCATTCAACTCTTTTTTTAAAAATCATCCTTTAGCTTGTGTTAATTCCTTCCATTAATTGCTAATATTTTAAATGATGTAATTACAGTAACACATGCTGTAATTGAGTCCTTGTTTCTTAGGTGTAGAAAAGTCTTTTTTCAGTGGCCAATTACCTGGAAATTGGAATCATTAACTTGAGCTTTAACAAGAGCAAAACTCAACTTCCTTTGCAACAGACGTGAAGTAGTTTAATCACAAATCCTGATGATTGAAAGAAAATGAATTTATTTGTCAGTCTCTATGTTGTAACTCTTATGGGAACAGAGATGATCCAGGACTTAACTTTAAAAGTGGAATTGAATTATAGCTGCCAGGATTCTGAGCTGGTCTGGTTAATTCCAGCTGTGGACACACATCTAGGATATTCTCTGCCAAAAGCAGGCCTTGAGTGACAGCTTAGCAAAAATATGAAATTCCAAGTTCACCTCACGTCTTACTTTTTTCTGAGCTATATTCTGTAGGGTTCTCCAACAGAGAAATTGAACAGTTTTACAGAGTTGTGGAAATAGCTTTTTTTTTTTGGGAAAAAAAACGTTCAAGGAAATTATATCAATTGCACGGATGGAGAAATGTGTTTTAGTCTGGTAGTAAACCCAGGTAGGTAAATCCTTCTCAGGAAACTTCTCAAGAGGTTCAGTTAATGAGAAACACTAAGACATAAAATTCCTTGGTAGAATAGGTTTTGAGGGAGGGGGTGGTTTGCATGCAAACTGTCTATAGGTTTTTGTTATTGTTCCTATTTTGATTTTATTTGTTTGTTTTTCAAATGCAGCCACCCATTTCCCCAGACCTGAGAATGCCATACTCCAGAAACAATCATTTTTAGAGATCTGTTTCCGTTAAATTCCTTCCACCTATAAGGTCCTCTGAAAACTTGGTGCCTTTGCAGTTTGTCCTTCCAGATAATCCCCACTTTGTGTGTTCTCTGAAAGTCAGAAAACGACTCAGGATGACTTTTGGTACTTGAAGGGACAAATATCTTTTTCACTATAGCCCTTGCATATCAATATGCTCAATAATGACTTGTGTTCAAAAAAAGGGAAAAATTAGAATACAGGTCAAAAGAAAAGCAAAATTGTTTTTACAAGGAGAACTCTGACATAACCAAGTTTGTTGTTAATAAACATGAAATAGATGAAGAATACATACAATTTTAGAGATAAATAAAATGATCAGTGGTGGAAAAGAGAGTAAAATATAGTTTAAATCACTGTGTTCCTTCACCAAAAAAAAAAAAAAAAGACATTAGTAAGGAACTTGCTCATTATTATGTACTTTAAATTATTTCTCTGTTTACATCCAGAACTACATGATTTTAAAATACTGTGATTTCTTCTGAGTAAATATTTCTCAAAACTAACTATTCCTTCAATTCATGCTCAATAACCTTTTTAAATTTTTTTATTGAAATGTTAACCATCCCAGATGTAGAGACATAATAAATCCTCAAATACCTACCCCTCAGATTCAATCATCATCCTTATTTTACCAGCCTGCTTCATCCACCCAATCCCAGACATCACCCCAAATACTTCATTATAAATTTCTAATTAGATAAAGGTCAGTAGTCTTTTTAAATATATATAAACAATGATTATTGGGAAAACTTTTCAAAGATGCCACAAAGAGTTGATCATCTTTCTTATAAATTCTTCTTCTTAACTGTCCCTAACTGTACTGTGGGAATCCCAGAAGCTCTTTTCCAGAATTATTTTCTATTCTGAGCACCTCCTCTGGGTGGTCCCTACTTGCCTTGAGTTCCTATATCTTAAGGACAATACCAGTGAATCCCTGACCCCAAAACCTTGTCCCTGTAATTCTGAGAGGTGGCACTCTTTAACCAATCAACTATTTAATAAGTAAGCAAAAGTGTTTTGAAAGGACATGAGAATTAGGCAATAAAGTAGTATAGACTGAACAGAAAATGCTTGGTAGAGAAAAAAGCCAGAAGATGAGTTTCGTGCCTGTCACTGGGAGGAAAGAAAGGGCCTAAAGTATAGCGTGAACTCATCCTCAAATATTTTCCTATTCAATGTTGTAGAAGTAAAAAATATCGATGGACTTTGTAGTCACTGATTGAAAACTTGTGATTAATAATTACAAGTTCCATGTGGTTTCTGAGAATTCTTTTTCTCTTCTGACTACACAAAAAACAAAATGACAAGTCACTGATCAAATATATTTTCTCTTTTAACCTTGTCTCAATGGTGTTCAAAACCTTCCATGCAATTAATCATTTCACAGAACAGCTGGTAATCATTGTTTAATTAGCCTTCACAAAACATTCATTCTTCCTGAACAGTCTCCTTTAATCTTTCATTAATGCTAGAGTCTAAGTATTTTCCTTTTTGTCCTATTATTGTTTATTTTGTAAAATTTTCACTATGTGTCTTGCCTTTTCTAGATTATGCAAATTGATGCTTTTGTGGTAGCATTTGATCTTTCCAGGAATCTGGATCTACTTGATAAGCTCTCAACTTGTTAGTGAAGTTGAACTTTTAGTTATATTTGGCAAAGCTTTGAAAGGGGATTTTTCTCCCTTCCTAATTTACCTGGAAAACGTTTCTCTTCATGCAGCCAAACAGAGGAGAAAGTTTTATTAACGAAAGAGAGAATTAATGGCACCAAATAAAGTAACTCAGCTGGAAAGGTTTTGTTTGTTTTCTTTCTTATTTTTTTTTTTTTTTTACATCCACTCTTTTCTTTGTAAGGCTGGTGTATATAAAAACTTCACAAGAGAGGTCAAAATAACCAGCGTAAGTAATCAGGACCTATTGGCCCAGCATTTAGCTAAATAAATAAGAATGTAAGTTTATTTTTTGCACAGAAGCTGGCTGCAAGTTTGCTAAGTGATTGATTTGATGCTAATTTTCCGCGTGGAATTCTCATTTCCTTCGGGGCCTGTCCTATGGGCAGAAAATAGATTCAGCCAAGCTGACTGAGCCCTGTTTTAGGTTTTGAGTTCTGAAGGTTTGGAAAACTCCTTTTCCCAGGAGCACTATATCTCCAAGGGATTCTCATTTACTGATGTCCCAAAGAACACAACTGGCTCTGAAAAGACTAAGGTCTTCAGTCAATTGCTCTTTCTGTCATAGTGTCACACATTTTTATGTGCCACAATTCTCCCTGTATTTTCTCCAGTCGTCCCATGAATTGCACATAGAAATGAAAAATTGCCATCCCTCTCCTTAATTCCCTGTGTCCAAATCCCAGTACATTCTAGGATAGAAATGAAATCAACATGTGCACAGCCGGCATCGCCTTTTTGCTCACTGTGACATGCTGCCTCTTCACATCTGTCCTCAGTGTTGGAGAAGCTCCATGCTGAGAGCCCTGGCTGTGTTTCTGCCCCAGCCCTGGGTGACACTGTCATATGTTGATTCCACAGTAACAACCTTCTTTGTGTTAATGTATCCATGACTTAAGGAGAGGGACAGAGATTTTTCATTTCCATATGCAATTCATGGGACGGTTAATTGTTGCACGTAAGAATGTTGACAGGATGACAGAAAGCACTTGACGGACAGCCTGAAGTCTTGAGCCAGAAATTCTCTCTCCACAGCCTTTGGGAAAGATGCTTCACCTCTCTAGGCCATTGTGGGCTGGGAGGCTTCAATTCGTACAATTTTCTAGTAAGAATAAGAGGCAACTTTGCTTTGAAGTCATTCTAACCCTAGTTATTTTGAAGTTATGATATCATGTTGGCATCTCTAGCGATAGACTAACTGTTTCAATGTTTATTTTCCAGGACCCCAAATTACGTGAACTTTTGGATGTGGGGAACATCGGGCGACTAGAGCACCGCATGATCACCGTGGTATACGGGCCTGACCTCGTTAACATCTCCCATCTGAATCTCGTGGCTTTCCAAGAAGAAGTGGCCAAGGTATGATGGATGGAAACTTCTAAAGGTTGTCATCTTGATCTGAATCCTTGTGATATTATTGTACTGAGGCCTGTGAGAGACTTTGAATTTTTGTCATATTTAGCACGTGTTAAAATTTCATCTAAAATTATTTCAGCTGCCAAGTATAAGTGTAATTCAAACGCTTCCAAATAATGGCATATACTTAGAATTATGGGGTTTTTTTTCATTAGGAATAAGACATCTGATATAATTCTTTTGCAAAACAAAATATAGATAAAACCGCATTCCAGTTCATCTACCTTACCCCAAGTCATTCTCTCTAAGCCTTATCCCTATACCACTTCCAACTTCATCTTCTTTCCAACTCTCTCCTGGAGACACACATCTTCAGCACCTTCTTAACTTCTTTTTCCCTGCAGAGTGCCTAGCCCACCACATTCATGTAGTAGTTGCTCAGTTAATATATAAAAGATTGAAAAAATGAA